GTCAGCAGCCCTGGTGCTGGTGGGCACCGAGAACCCATCCTGCGGCGCTCAGAGGTGCTTCCTCCCACCAGGGTCCCGCCCAGGGAAGGACGGGCAGGTCGACCCTTGCCCCATGAAGGGGGGGGCAGCCTCTGCTCCCACAGCCCCACTGTGGACCGCCCATGGACACACAGAGACACCGCAGGGGACTATGTGCCACACAGCAGTGTCCTCTGGGAACGTTTCGGACGTAATAAAAAAGGCAGTTCAGTTCTTGTTATTTTGGGGTGTGCTGGCTGACATGGGGTGCTGTTCACGGAGCCCCTGCCTCCATCCCTCATTCAGACACTGCCTGCTTGTGGCCCTGTCCCTGGGCCCCAAGCAGTGAGCAGGTTTCCAGTTAGAGAGCCCAGAGGGCCTTCCGCCCAGGGTCACATTTCCCCTTTTCTCCGATGAGAACTTCCCACTCCCCCACAGCAGAGTTGTTGGTTTTTTATGGTGACCTCGGGGTGCTGCAGGCTCCTTCCTCCTCCAGAACCCCAAGCAAGTCCCAGGGCCTGGGCCAGGGTACAGAGCCCACCCCTGCCTGGGGTTATGCCCGCACCCACTCAAAACTCGCTGGAGCCAGCAGTCCTAAGACTGCCTGCCGGACATGGCCAGCTTGGCTGGGACCTTGTGCTGTCATCCAGGTGAGACGAGGTGCCCCCAGCCCGACTTTCCCTCAGGCTCATGGGACACGTGGGGTGATGCCTGACCCAGCGATGGCCTGGAGGCCCCGGGAGCTTGCACTTGGGGGGACGGTTCCCTGACCTGGCCTAACCCAGCTCTGGCTTTGCTCAGAGCAGCCCACCACCTTGTGGGGGAGGAGGGGCTGCCAATGGCTCAGGGTGGCTCCACGCCACCTGGGCTTACCTTAAGGGAAGGGAACTGACCCACATGGAAGCTCCGGGCCTGAGCTCCCCAGCACCTTCTCGGGTGAGCACCCTAGTGGGTGGCCACCGACACACACCCACAACTGGGTGTGTGTCGTGAACTGGGTCCGTAGGTGAACTACAGACGTCTTACCAGGCCCCCCCTCAACGGAGACGAAAGGGATACAACACAGGGCTGTCCTTGAACACCGAGATTCTCACACAAGCAGGAAATTCACTCCACGGACCTGTCAACAGGCACTGAATGTCTGAGGAGTACCGGCGTTTATCTCAACAAGACACTCGCTCATCATGAAAGGAAAACAGTAACTTCTGCGGAGAACTGGCCAATAACCCCTCGGCCCAGCGATCAGAGGAACGTCAACAGGAATGGAACAAATCAAAGCCACCGAGAGGAAGCCGAGAGAACAGGCCTCTGCGAGATTCCTGCCAACGGCGCAGAATCTGAACCCACCCGTGAGGCAGTGCTAGGCAACCAAGCAGGGGGCCATGCCACTGCATAACGCCCCGCACTCTTCCTGAGAGTCACTGTCGGGAGACACTGGGAAAGGCGGAAGAACGTTCCGGACACAGGGAGCAGAGAGAGGCTGGAGGCTGAGCCAACACATAAGCCAAGGCTTTCCTTCGCTATCAGGACGTTATCACAAGACCAGCAAAGTCTCAGTGAGGTCCACTGCGCGTCTGCTAACAGCACTGCTACCAGGTAACCCCTGCCTCCGCAAGGCCCACGTGCTTCCGGACAGACTGTTCTCGTCTTTGGGAAACACACGCTTGGGGTCCACAGGCCCGCAACTGCCTTACTCTCAAATGGTTCCGGAAAAAATAGCTAGAGAGAACAAAGGTAACATGAGTAATTATTAATAACTTGGACAGTCTGGGAAGTTAAAAATAAATCATTGTCAACTTATATCTCAATTTAAAAAGTCACTGCCAAGGCCAAGAGACAAGATGGAACCATAAAAGGAGTGAGCTTGGAGTTCTAACCCGGAGCCTCCCACTCTCTGGCCTCGGGCAGGTCTTGGCAACTGTAACTGGAGGGTGATCATCCTGTCCCTTCCTTCGCTGGCGACCAGGGAGCTAAGGAACAGGACAGCATTTTGCAAGAGCTCAGATGCAGCTCACGAGAGATACAATTTCCCTGAGGATAATAAAGTCAAAACTGCCCTGCCCAGGCCGGGTAGCTCAGTTGGTTAGAGCTTCATTCATCCCCCTACACAAAAGTTGTTGGTTTAGTTCTCAGTCATTCTTCATATAAGAATCAACCAAAGAATGCAAAAATAAGTGGAACAGCACATCGATGCTACCCTCCTTTCCTCTGTCTCTAAAATCAATAAAAAAAAAAAAAAGTAATAAAAGTCTAAGCTGCCCTCCTTCTCCATGAGAAAAAAAAAAAGAAGTCTTTCTGCAACGGCTGCCATGATGGGACCCTCGGAGGGAGCAGCTTGCGGGAGGCTGTGTGTGGGGTGGACCCCCTCCAGCCTCCTGCTGCACACGGTTGCAGTCAATTTCACAGATGCTATTTCCATTCAACATTGTATCCTGCCATCAGCAAGATGATGTACGGAGTTCACAGACAGTACTGGCTGCGTGGCGTTTCTGGCGGGGCTGTGGTCCATAGCCCACTGTTCCCTATTTTGTGGACACGGAGCCTGCTTTCAAACTCTCGCCGTGGTAACAGTGCCTCACGGACTCCTTCGCACATATGGCTTTGCATGCGTTTTGGATGACCTCCTTAGACGAGGTCTCTATCAATAAGACCACTGGGTCAAGGGGTATGAACCAAATATTTTCCACACGGGTTATTCTAAATTACATAGCCAAGAATAATGTAGGAAAACACCAGTTTCTTTGGCATTTATCACGTTCTTATTCTGCCTTACTTTTTCCCTTAATTTAATGAGGAAATGATACCTCAATGTTGGAACTTGCATTGTTTTGAGTACTAATGGGGGCAAACTTTTTTTCCATATGTATTTTCCAACTTTTACTGCTTTGTCTGAACGCGGCCTTGGTTCACTCACCAGGATATTTGTCAGTTTAAAAAAAAATCAATTCCTAAAAACTCTTCACGGAATACAGATACAACCTTTTGTGGAGTCATATGGCAAAATACTTTCCAAGACTCGAAGGTTTGAAGAAGTGGGCTGACCTGCAGTCGTTTGAAAGGGTGACAAGGCGTGACTGTCTAGCCTACGTCTAAGGATGAGACTTCTCACAGGGACAGGCACGTCAGCAACAATAAACTGATTCTCCAGAGATGGACAGTGGAGGGTGCTTAGTGAGGTTATTAGCGACACAGTCTGGGAGCACCTAGGTCAGCAGATGAAGCTGCTCCACAGGTCTTACCCATTCTTTTGGTCTAGTAAAATGTGAGCGCTAACTTCTGAAAGGGAATAAGTCGTCAAAGTCCCTTTCTAGCTCAGGCACAGGTATTTTTTTCTTTTAAGAAGCAGGTGGATCTCATTCAACACATAAAATGAATAATTTACATTTTTTACGGCCAGCAGGGGGCATTCAGACTTGCTTAGGAGGCCTTTCCTGAACAATAGCAGAAGGTCCCCTCCCTGGGAGGTGAACAGAAAGAACTCCCAACTCCGGTTTCTTAGGAAAGTTGTCGTTTCTACAGGAGCTGCACCAGGTTTATCTTCATCACTTACGACATATATTGGATTCAATATTTTAAAAAAGGGCGGGGAAAGAGAAGAGGTTCTTGCAAAGAAAGTCTCAGGCACCTTCTCAAATACACGTAGACACTGCCCACACCCAAGCAGCCTGACGAGGACCAGGTCTTGGAAGTGGACACAGACAGAGGTCAGGGGGAAGGCTCCGAGGGGAGGAGAGGCACCTGCACTTTCTGTGGGTCCCTGCAGCATCCAGGGCACTGTCAGAACAGCTCGCTTCAAATCCCACTTGAATGGCTGAGAATCCGGCCGCTGAGTTTCCCAGGGACCAGCTGGCCCCCGGCCAACAGCTCTGAGAAGAGGTCAAGTGACTCTTGCAATCTCGTGACCTCACTGTTGTGACATCCAAGTGACCTGTCTCTACTAAAGTGCTGACTGTCCTCGGGCTTTGGAAGGCACTCAAGCATGTCAGAGAGAGGGCCTATAATTAGGACAGTATTAGGTGCTCTTATCTGGGGAGGGAGAAAAGGGAACGCACCCTGCGAGATTCTGGCCCCGGTTCAACACAGGACAGAGCCAAATGCCTGAATCTTGAAACCACACCCGGAAGGGGTCAACCCTCTTCCTCAGGGGAGGGGTAGTTGATACGAGGCTTCGACCTCAGGGCAGGGCAAGCCTTTTGTTTTCCCTGTTCTTGGATATTCCAGGCAGCCGGTAGCCCTCATCCAGAGCAGCCTCTGCCATGACCTCACCCTCAGAGTTGCTCAACTCTAGAAAGCTAAGATCATCTAGAACACAGACAACAAGAGACAGAGGGCTGAAGTCTAGAGGTGAGCAAAGAGAAAATGGAGAAGACCGCCTTTTGTACCTTTCACAGCCGAGGCACTGCATTTGGCAGAGGGCTGGATAAACCGGGAGCACGGGAGTGGCTGCGTGCACCACACCTGTGGCGTGGGGTGCGGGTGGTGGCGTGGGGTTGGGAGCTGCCAGGCTCTTCAACCTGGGGCAGCCACCTGACTCATCTCCCCAGCCTGGGATCCAGGTGCTTCCCCGTCTGGGTGGCACAGAGGGCCAGGACAAAGTGAAGTTGGGGCCAGAGAACCCAGAGAGTCTAAGATCTCCAGGTGCATCTAAGCTACCAGGGCCAAGCTCTAAGGGAGAGTTCTGGCCCTCCTCCCTCCGGGAGTGAGCTGAGGCTCCCACCTCGTGGAGGCTCTGGTCAGGGCAAGCAAACAGAGGCTCCCTCTGCAGTGATGCTCAGGACAGGCCCACCTCTGGGGCAAGCCTGACATGGTCTTGCCGACCCTGGAGAGTGAGCAGACACTGTCTGCCGGGCTCTCAGCCAGGGATCCAACCAAGAGGTGGGCACCAGACGGGCGCGAGAGCCACAGGGGCAGCAGGCAGGGCCCAGGCGAGAGGGCAGGGCGGGGAGGGGGTCTGCAGGGAAGTCAGCGCCGCAGCCACCCACCTGACCACGTGGAAGGCCCAGAACAGGAGTCCAGCCCGGTGTCCACGCGTGGCACGGACGATGCTGAGGTACAAGTAGAGGGCGATGTCCACGGTCCAGAAGAAAGAGCTAGTGTTGGCGAAGGTAGAGAGCGCGCCCTGCAGCACGCAATCCCACGAGGGGCCCGAGAAGTCCTGGAGCACCCCATAGAAGTAGGAGACAGCCGACAGCAGGTCGGCCAGCGACAGGAAGAGCAGCAGGCGCCGCGCTGGGCTGCGCAGGTCGGGCCACAGAGCGTGCGTGGCCACCAGCAAGCCCGAGCCGAGCGCGGAGAGCACGCAGGACAGCAGCACCACGGCGCGTTCCGACGGCACCAGCTCCGTGGGCGGCGCGGGCGGCGGCATGGCTGGGGGACGAAGGGCCGGGCTGGGGCCGAAGAGCGCGGGCGCCGCTCGGACAGAAGTAGGACCGCCCGTGCGGCCGCTGCCGCCGCCGGCTAAGACTCCACAGCGAAGCGCCCACGCGGGCGTCCGGGGCCCTCCCAGGCGGGGGAGCATCGGCCCCTGGCCCCGCCCGCGCCGCAGGCCTGGGCTCCAGGCACCGCCCACGGCCTCACACCACGCCCCTGCGCCCTCCGCGTCCCATCTGCGACTCCTGGCCCCGCCCCTAGCCCCGCCCACATGCCCGGGAAAGACCTCGCGCCACGCCCCCACCCCTGCCCTCCACGCTTCATCCCGGGCCCCAGCGTCCGTCCAGTCCGCGCTCCGGCTTCAGATCTGGAGCCCCGCCTGCCCGCGGGGGCTACCCCTATCCTCGCGGGGGGGGGGGGGGCTCGGACGTCGGCCCTGGGGAGCGCTTTCGGGGTCAATATTAACTTGCGAGTGTGCGTGTGTGTTGGGTGGGGGTGGGGTGTCCTTAACGCTGGTGACAAAAACCACTCTGGACCTGTGGTCCTCCTCCCCTAACCAGAGGGACAGTGTTCGCAGGCCCGGAAGGGGGTGTTGACAAGTTTTCTTATAATGAGCACACTACTGCAAAAAATTCAGCCTTATTGGGTGTACTTTTTTATTTTATTTTTAATTTTTGTTTTTTGGGGGAGGGTGTACTTCTTTTAAAGAAACAGTTCCGATTTATCGGTTTTGTCCATTTCTTGCTTTTGTGACGTCATTTACATACCAGAAAAGCGGCACTTGTAAGTGTACAATTCAGTAGTTTTTATACCTTCGCAGACAGGGTGCTTGGAGAATTCAGCAGCGCAGCCGTCGCCCCCCAAATGGTCGCCCCCCCTCCCCCTGTTAGTGGTCGCTACCCGTTTTTCCCCACCCCAGCTCTCTGCGACCACCGACCCGCCTTGTGCGTCTGGTTCGCCCACTCCGAGCAGTTCCCGCAGACGAACCAGCCTCTGTCCCCCACCGTGTCCTCAAGGCTCATCTGCTTTGTAGCTCGTGGCAGCGCTTCATCCCTTTTCACTGCCAAGCGACGCTGCCTCGGACGGACAGGCTGCGTTTGTTCTTCCGTTCGTCGGTTGATGGACCATTTATTCCCATTCCCAGTTTTTGGCTATTATGAATAATACTGCTGTGAACACTCGTGTACAGGTTTTTGTGTGGACGTATGTGTTCAGTTGTCTTGGAGTGAAATTGCTGGGTCATAGGGTTGCTCAGTGTTTAACTGGGTATGTCTGCACCGTTTTATACGACTACAGCGGTGTGTGAGAAATCCGGTAGTTTCTTTCCTAACACTTCATTCCTAACACTTCACTATCTGCTTTTTGGTTCCCACCATCCTGGTGGGTGTGAGGTGCTGTCTCATTGTGGTTTTGATTTGCATCTAGAAAGGTGTGGGACACCTTGTCTTGTGCTTATTGGCCATTTGCATATCCTCTTTGAAGAAAAGTCCATTCAGTTCTCTTGCCTATTTTTTGAGTTTGTCCTTTCGTTACTGAGTGGTAAGAGTTCCTTATATATTCTGAATACTAGAAAAATTTCCAGATTAATTTACAATTTTTTTCTCCCATTCTGTAGTTTATCTTTTCACTTCCTTTTTTAAGTTTTTTTTTTTCCTAGAGAGAGGGAAACATCCATATGTGGTTGCCTCTCACACGCCCCCTACTGGGGACTTCGACCACAACCCAGGCACATGCCCTGACTGGGAATTGAACTGGTGACTCTTGGGTCCACAGGCTGACACTCAATCCACTGAGCCACACCAGCCAGAGCTCTTCTCACTTTCTTGTGTCCTTTGAAGCACAGATGTTTTCATTTTTGTCCATGTCCATATCACCTGCTTTTTTTCTTCGGCTGCCGGGCTTTTGCTGTCCCATCTAAGAAACCATTGCCTAATCCAGATCAGGACAACTCGTATCTATGTTTTCTTTCTTGCCTGTGTCTCACTGTTTGGGTTACTGTAACATTGTAATAAGTTTGGAAATCCAGGGCCAACACTGTTTCTCCTTTTCGGTATTGTTTTGGCTGTTTGGAGCCCCTGGCAATTCCTATCAATTTAATCAGCTTTTCCATTTCTGGAAAAAAAAAAAAGGCCTGATGGGATTCTGATAGAGATTGTAGAATTTGTAGATAAACTGGGGGAATAATGCTATCTTAATGACGTTAAATCTTGTCCCTGTGCATGGGACCACTTCTCACTTGAGTAAGTCATCTTTCATTTCTTTCAATGATGTTTTGTAGTATTTGGTATACATGAGATTTGACTTTGCATTTGGGCCATAAAAAGGCAGATTATCATAGGCATAGATTATCTTTTTGCACCTACCTTTCAAAAATCACTATTATGAAGTATGCATACTGTAAAATGCCTAAAATACAACTGCGCAATTTAATAAATAATTATAAAGCAAATACCCACCCAGAGCAAGAAATATTAATATGACCAGCATACAAGAAACCTCTCTCCAAACTTCTTTCTTCTTCCTCTGTCATTCTCTTGCTTTTTAAAAAACATTCATGCTTGCATTCCTTAACAAATAGTACAGTTTGCCTGCCATTGCAACTTCACATAGATGGAATCGTACTGTGTTACCTTTTGTGTCTCCAATTTTTTGCTCAATATTATTTTTGAGAGATTCATCTACGTTCTGGAGATGAATGAATTGCGGTTCGTTCATCATAGTTGCTGTACAGTTTTCCATTATATAGATAATATATTTTATCCAACCTGCTGTGTTGGATACATTTGGGTTGTTTCCAGGTTTCAGCTATTGTCGGCCATGCTGGAATGAGCATATTCTTTCTTAATCAGGAAAATAGTTGCTAAAAACAGTTCTCAGCGGCTCGAGCAAGTAGACCGTGAACTTGACCCTACAGGGACCCGAAGAGCAGCTGCCTTCTTTCCCGGTCACTTCCAGAAGCAGCTGACCTCCTCCTGAGCGGACCCCAGGCCGCAAACAGACCCCGGCTGCCGATGAAGCCTCTCAGCTTTTTATTGCAGTGGATAGTTTCAAGCTTGGATTGTGCAACCAGCCCTGGTCTTTGGAACATGGCTGGGCAAGAGCCTGGAATGGACTTCCTCCCCAGATCATAGTTATTTAATCCACGGGGTGTTTGGGGGAGAGAGAGGGACAGGAGAGCTCTTCTGGCAAGCCTCTCTGTGGGCAGATCAAGCCTGACTCTCTCCTGCTTTACTGAGATGAGAAAGCGCTTTGTCCACTTCCCCAGGTTAGCCGCTGCCTACTTTACAGGCAAGTTTGATCAGGAGATCGCTTGGTTTTCTTTGCACTGGAAAACAACATTCAAAGAACATCCCACTGCTAGGGGGAAAAAATGGGAAAGACGTGTGGCGATAGGGCTTCAAATCTCTTAGATCTGAGCTTGAAGTGAGCTTCCCACAGTCCGAGGCACCGGTGTTGCCCTGAGAGGCCCCGGCATTGAGCAAGAGGTAAGCCACCCGGTGTAGCCTCCACCAACCGGAGCCAGCGACTCCCAGCTTGTCCTCAGGGTTCCAGGGCTCTGCTTCTTCTGTTCCACGGGCTGCTGGTCCTCCAGGGAGGCCTGACCCACAACGGCAGACCCAGCGCTGCCTCCGACGGTGCCCACCCCATGGGGGACCCATGTGAAAGGCAATGGCCTGTTGGTGACATTTTCTAACTTCTGACCTCGTGGTGCCCCCTCTCCCTCCTTCTCTTTGGGGGAATTGGTTGGAAACTCACATGGAGTCTTCTTTGACTCTTGAGTTGTTTCTCTGGCTTCCACACCAAGCCAGCTGGCAATTGTCTCTTCCTCCATGTCCAACACCCAAAGGGGCCACGTCCAAGGTCCTGACACATTGTGACAGCCTTCCTTGCATCCAAGTTATCTGGCTGCAGACCTAGGGCCCAGACCCAGAGAGGCCCCGTAACCGGGACTGGTGGCCCTAGGAGCAGACTGGTTTGCTCTTTCCTCCCTCCCCCCACTGCAGAAGCTGGCACCAGGTTCCCCTCCTCTGACAATTGCAAAAGGGAGTCTCTAAATTGAAGGCTCCCCGAATGATTTTCTGAGCTCAACTCCAACCTGAGCAACGAGCCACGTATGTGATTCGTAAACCCAGCAGAGAAGAGGGGCTTACTTACCTCACGTGGTCGGCAGATGTGTGGACCGGCCACCTTTCTCATTTCCCTAGTTAAGGATGAGCATTGCCTGTCTTGCCCCTTCCTACCCAGGTGCCACGACAAGCAATGGCGTGGAAGGGGAGCCCAGCCCATGGGAGCCCCCCTCCCTATTCCCCCACCTCCAGCAACCCCAGAGAGGGGGGTGCAACCCCTGGGCATGCTCAGGTGACCATTGGGCCATGCAGATGAAAGCCCAGGCTAAGCCCGACCAGCTGCATTTCTGAAGGCAGGGGCCTCCTCCTCAAGAGGCACCGTCTGGTGGGAGTGTTTTCCTGTAAGAGAAGCCCTCGGGTCCCAGTGTGATGTGTTGAAACTCTCCCCAATCCCCTTGAGCCTTCCCCTTCCCCACCCCAGCTCTGCAGCCTTTGCCCCCAGCTCTCAGTGCACCTGGCTCTCCTGCCTGCAGAACCCGGCAGACTCGACTCGGTCAGATGGGCTCTGTCATTGCACCGGCTCCCAGGGCGGCCATGACACCGCGGATCCCAGCCACCTGGGGCAACTGAAGAGAAGCTAAGCCACTAGAGGGGAAGGCTGTTTTCCTCTGTATCTCTACTCAGAGACCCGCTTTGCAGGTAGGACCCGCTCAGAGTGCACTACTGCCCCCCCGAAAGATGTCTTGTGATGCAGTGGGAGAGCCAGGGTCTAGTCCTGCGTCTCTGTGCCAAGCGCACCTGGGGGCAGAATGCTAAAGACACCCCCAGCTCAAGATCCCTGTCCCCTGCTTATTTAGTCAAGCACTAATCTAAGAACTGCTGTGAGGGGGATCTTGAAGAAGTAATTAAAGGCCTGCTACACACTAAATGTTTGTGTTGTTTCCGCCACCACCCCCCATCAACTCAGTGAAGCCCCAGCCCCCAGTGTGAGGGTATTAGGAGGTGGGGCCTCTGGAAAGTACTCAGGGCTGGAAGAGGTCACGAGGATGGAGCCCTTACAAGGGGGTTGGTGCCTTTGGGAGAACAG